GCACCAGAAGATGTCGATAGACATTACATTTGAATATTTGAAGATTATAGCTATCAAAGAAGCAAGTAAGAGGAAGAGAGTTCCACTGCCGGGAAGTGCAAGAGAAAAAGCTGTTGGATTTTCGATTAAAAATAATTTGAATAAAAAGGATGTGCTTTCGTTAGAAAGGGGAAATATAACCTTGTTTACCTCATTCGCGAATGTGTGGTAAGGCACGACGGGTCAAATGGTGGTTTTCCCTACAAAGGGCGACGCAGTTTCGATTCCTGGAGGAGAACTCTTTTCTTTTCTTTTCTTTTTTTTTTCATTGGGAAAACCGGTGCACAAACCGGTAGACGTCATACGATATAAAAAAAAAACAAAAAAAAACTGGGCGCCTATTTCAAATATGAGTTTCCGTTATAATAACATTCGAACCCTCCGCAGGGTTTTGATTCAGAGTTGTCCTTCTCCTAGACTAGTTGCTAACCAAGGCTATAGAACCCAGTCTGTCCTGATATTTACCCATAGCTGAAGGGAGAAGAGAATTCACACCTTTCCCAAGGGTATTAGCATATAAGTGAATGTAATGGGTTCGACTGTAATTCGAACTCGGCTCTATCTGAGCTGCTACCCATTATTCCACCGATATATGTAACTCATAAGTGTATATATATATATATATATATATATATATATATATATATATATATATATATATATATATATATATATATATATACACATTATATATATATAGCTCATAACACTTGTTATGAGTTATATATATATATATATATATATATATATATATATATATATATATATATATATAACTCATAAGTGTTCGATATGGCTTCCACTTGATTACACACAAATGCATCCGGCGGATCATTGACTGACACACCCTCTCAAATACTGCCACACAAAGTGTCAAATGGTTCCGCAGGCCCCCATGAGATATTGATAAAGCATGTCTGCATTATTAATGTCTTATAACTAAACCAATAGTTTTAGGTGGCCTCACAAATAAAAATAAAAATGATTGAATTTGGAGGAACGTGCAGGCCATGTATCCGGTCCTCCTCTGTTTATCCCTCTTTCAGGGTACATATCAGCCGCTGCAGCGCAAGCAATGTGGCTAAAATGTGCTGAAAATATCCATCATCCATGAATCACACGCGACTTTGTATTAGCAGGGATACATCCTTTAGCAGGTCTGGAAGAGTGTCGAAATAAAGTCCCTGTAGACAGCTCCCGAAAGAATTGCTGGGAAAACATATGGGCCTATTAGTCACCTACAATTCCTGTCCACACATTAATCGGAAACTGATGCTGATGTCTAGAATGTATTGTACCATGGGGATTCCGCTCCGCCTACAAAAGTTTGTTGTATAAATTTCTAATTTCATCTCTCCCAAATGTTGCCTCATCCGGAAACAAGACTGAAGAAACAAACAATGGATCAGCATTGGGTGTAATAAACCATCGGCAAAAGTTCTCCATTGGTGAGTGATCAGAAGGCGAAAAACCTTGCACACGTTGCAAATGATATGGATTCAGTAACTGCTCTTGAAATACGCTCCATGTTTTTCTATGAGATACTTTGAATATACGCTCTTTAGCGCTAGAGGGCGTCGTCAGTGATGTTCTGAATTGGGTCATGGGAGAGTTTCCGGTCTTTCAAACATCATACTCCCCTCACCATATCGAACCCACCAGAGCTGATCAGTCTCTGATGCCCCCCCCCCATCTAAATTAACAGCCTGCAGACACTGACTTATATTAGGAAAACCATACCCCTCTCTCACGCATTTGATTGGAAGTTGACCAACAACCAATCACCCATGGTGTGAGTTCTATTTAAGTTGTTTACGGGGATTTTTTACTGTTTCTTTTTATGTGGATACTCGTCGGATACTCGGAAGGTAATTATGTGTTTTCCGGTTATTTTTTTACTTTCTTTCAAGTTTCATCTTCCTAACTGATAATTACTGTTAGTAAAGAAAATAAAAAAATAAAAATAAAACAATAAAATAAGATCTTACTTATTATAAAACGCAGATTGTGTGTGTGTGTGTGTATGTTTATATATGGGATCGGATTTCCTTCATTTTTCAACCGATTTCAACAAAACTTCACAGGATTACGTAAAATTACCTTGCGCTAGTTTTGACAGCGCCAAAAATTGGAAAACACAATTGTTTTTGCACGAAATCAATTTGAAAACACGATTATAAGGCATTAATGAAAGGGGGACAACTCATATCGAGTCATACTTATTAATATCGAGTTATCGAGTTATACTTATTATAAAACCCAAGTTGGTTGTTTGTGTGTGTGCGTTCGTTTATATATGGGATCAGATTTCCTACATTTTTCAACCGATTTCAACAAAACTTCACTTATTTTGGCAGGTAGTGTTTCTTATTGTCTTGCACACTTTTTTCTTTATTTTTACATTCAGAATGATTTAAAAATTCCATTTACCAGACAATTGTTTATAATAAAATTCTATTCAATCGGTAGACACATAACGATTGAAAACAATATTTTTGTTTGAGTTGGGTTTGACCAAAAAAAAAAAAAAAAAAAAAAAAAAAAAACTAATTAAGACATACGTGTCCGTCAACCTTAAACAATAATCTTTGTCAATTTTATTTTTCAGTCTTTATGATGGTCGATACTTCATCTATCTCTTACTGTTACATCCCCGGGCAACGCCGGGCTCTACTTCTAGTAAGAAATAAAAAAAAAAGATGCAACCTTAAAATAATTGGAAATTTACATTGTTTTTGCGATTAAAATAAATAAATTACGTTTTAATGCCGCTTGTTAAAACGAAAATAAATATATAAATAAATGTTTAAAACAAGTTGAACGAGTAAACTTAAAAAATTCGATTAAATCTGTCGATTAACGTGGTAAAATTAACGAGTGAGATTATCAATATACTATATGCTAGCGCCACTTGTGCTGATACGTGGATCGACTCCGACAGCCTGTAGAATGCGTTCACTGGGGTTAAAAGTACGAGAGGATCACGGTCTTCCTCGAATCCATAGTTTGTAGCGCCACGGATCTTGTCATAGCAGCAAAGGATGAATGACTCGGCTGCCTTCTATCTGAAAACGCAATCTGATACAACCGCCTAGCATGGCGTCCATTACGATTCGCGCGGCCGTATGTAAAAATCATATCTGCCTGCTTACGATATGAATATCCTGCCATTTTTGAACGAAAAATTTCTCAGTTAACTCACAACTATACACGGTAAACGTTGAAGAGAGATTAGGCCACTAATGTATACAAATAACAAATGTAGCCTAGTCTACATGACAACACAAAGCCATTTACCGTAAACTTTCTTTAAACTTAATAACTTAACTTCATTGCTATATTCACGTTTCGGCCGATTGGTGATTGGAATTTCGAACCGGACTCTTTATTTCGTCCACCGGTGTATTTTGTTCCAGTTCCACGTGCCATGCCTCTTCAGGATGTCTCAGTTATTCCCCTTTAACTCAATTCTCCAATTTTTGGTTCACCTCTGCTGTAACCTGGTATTGAACTCACAACTCTTTGGGTCTAGTCGCTGGATCTAACCAACGCCTCTATCCACTGGGCCATGTGTCCTTTATTAAAACGTAAGTAATCACAATAGCTTATCTCAGGGATATAGACAGATATTAATAATTCAAAAACGAAAGATTTACGGATATATGATTATGTGGACTCTGTCCTTGTTTTGGTGTGAGGGACCCATCCTAAAATTTGTAAAAGTATTTTTGATACACCTCATATATATATATATATATATATATATATATATATATATATATATATATATATATATATATATATATATTTTGAAGAAATATAGTTTTGTGCTATATTTATGGATAAAGTGATCAATATCAGAGATAGAGCGTATGTAAAATATAAAAGTGAAAATTGGAGTCAACACTCTGAAGTGACAGACTCTTTCCTGCTGGAGGCAATCGTCAGGCTGACGATTGCTGTCAGCAAGAAACAGCCTGTCGCCTCTGAGAGTTGACTTCAATGTTCACTTTTATATTTATATATGTATATATATATATATATATATGTATGTGTGTGTGTGTGTGTGTGTGTGTGTGTGTGTGTGTGTGTGTGTGTGTTGTGTGTACACACACATATATATATTTAAACACCGTATCTTCATGGAAACATGTTTCATTTAATAATATAGATTTATTATCTTTGTATATTTTTGTAATAATCCGTTTTAAATAATTATAACAGGGAGCGTTCAGGCGTGGTTTTTTTTTTGTGTTTTTTTTTTTAATTTTTTTTTTTTTTAGTTATAATAAGTTTGTCTTTGTAATTTATCCCTGAGGATGATCTCGGGGGAGGTTGAAAGTACTTGGGTAGGAAAAAAAACTATGGCGCCTTTCTTGATGAATTTCATCTTCACATTAATAAACCGATAGGAGAACTAGAACGGATTATAATAAAAATAAATAGGCATAATATGTCTATATTATTCAATGAAAAATGTTGTTTATATATATATATATATATATATATATATATATATATATATATATATATATATATATATATATACTACTAGTAAAACTCAGTAGAAGTGTTTAATATTAAAGATGAAGCTTATGTACTTATGAAAATGTATATTGTGGTCAACCCCAAGCGGCGACTGCCTGTTTCATATCTGAAGATTGCGTTTATTACATAGACAGTCGCTTGTTGTTGATATCAGTTTCCACTTTTTATATATATATATATATATATATATATATATATATATATATATATATATTGTCATCCACATCTATATGTATATGTGTGTGTGTGTCTGTTCGCTTTGATCTATTTACCCTTGTTAAAATGCATCTTTCTCCAAAATACCGCGTTTCTATCAGTCTCTGAACCCGTCGCTGTCACAATGATCCTCCACCTGCTACCATCAAAATCCGCCATTGTTTCACCTTAAGCTTACACTGTCGCCTTCTCACTCCATGTCCCCAGCTGCTACCTTAATCTCGCTAAATGCGCGCACGTCTTTCCCGAGCAGGATCACAATAAGGCTACCCTGTCGCTTCATCCGATCAACTCTGTGCGGGCTTGGGTGATATTATTATTATTATTATTATTATTATTGTATAGTAAAGGGTTTACACAGTTAAAGCGGTCTCCCTGTTCCAAATATTCGATCCCGTAACTCCTTACTCGCTTTGACAACGCAAACATTCGCCGTAAGAGGATTAGAATCGACGATTAAACCTATTAAATTTGGTAAAGCGTTTTCTTCAATACGTCCTTACAAGCGGCCGATTAGCAGCTGCCACTTGAAGAAGTGCCAGAATAGCTTCTGCTATATTTCATTGGGCCTTTACTCCGTTTGTCGGTCTATCGGTTTATCTATCTATCGTGCCTGGGTAAATTAGCGAGGCAAAGAAAAAACAACGAATATATATAGTTACCTTCATGAGATCGCTAAAAAGAGTATAGCATGACGAAAAAGACGCCAAACTTGACGAAAACAAAACTTATCATCTAAATGTTTATGTTATTATTAAGAGGAAAGATCAAAGTATTTGGCGGTATTTTTTACATGTTTTAATCGTTCCTAGCACGTCCAAATTTTTCGCTAAAAATCTTGTTATTTTAGTCAGCAAAATTGACAGATAATCGATCTTGTCAGCCATTTTTTTCCAATTTATAAAAAAAATATGAAAATCTCAGTTTGAAATTCTTTAAAAAAATCAATTATAATTTTTTCAAAACTTATTTTAAGAAAATCAGAAATTATAATGTTTATTTAAAATATTTGGAACCAAGCTTAACTTAGTTTCTGCACCGAAAAGACGTAGTTTGACAATAAAACAAAGCAGGTCATAAACTTTCGCGTCACTTGACAGGTGACGAAAGATATTCATGACGTTTAGATAGCTTACGTGAGGATAATTCCTTCTACGGAAGGAGAGAAGTGAAGTTATTTAGATTTAAGTGAACCTTTCAGCGCTCTAATTTCTTTTTTTGTACTTAGCTTTCACCTTTACGTTTGCGATGCTTTATGGGAAATATATTATAAAGAAATTAAAATAAGACTGTTGAGAGTGAGACTAAATTTCATAAAAAAGGTATCTAATTAATTTATAGGTACCTTTCTTATTAAATTTTATCAGAAGTGTACATAAAATACAAATTTAAATTTCATAAGATGATACCGATACTTGTAGGTAGCCTTCTCAGTTGAAATAGAAAAATCAAATTAACTTCTCCACACGTATTTCGCAAAAATAAATCTCAAAATGACATTTACGAAATTAACCAATTTTATAATATTTTAACAACTTAAATGTAAAAATCAATTATAATTAATGAAATAACAAATAATTGTATTAAAAAATTAGTATTTAAGTAAAATACTAGACAGGAACTCAATCCACGTGACGTTTTTTTTTTTATTGCACACATGATACTTCCGGTCTTCCGTAGATTTGATTTACAGTGTTATTATTGACACAAATTATATTTTTTTATATACTCCTGTTCGTTCGTTTGTAAGAAGCTTTGAAAATTATAATCTGTAAATATATATCTACTTAATAACAACATTCATTAAATTCTACAAAGGTTTCCCTAATTTTAGAAGTATTAGCAACATAATGTAAAAATAATAAAATATTTCAGAAATAACAAATAATTGTTTTAAAAATTCATTTTTCATCGATATATCTTTTTGCTTTCAGACAATATTGTCTATGTTCATTAAAATAAATAAAAGCAATTAAAAGCTTTTGAAATTAAATAATATTTTTGTTTTATTGAGTTTTGTATGTTACAATTCAGAGATGATTTTCAAGTAGAGGTGGTCCAACTAAAAAAAACAAAACATGATTTAGTTCCCTCAAAGCCTTGTGCTTTTATCTAATATAATCACTAATCTTCCCAAAATTGAAATTATGGAGTTTTCGTACAATTAGTTATGGGGGGGGGTAATACACTTTAAAAAAAAACAATTTGCCATGACGTTAAAAAAAAGAAAATATATTTATAATAAGTTCCATCATTTATAAATAGTTTCTGAAAGTTTCATTAAAATCTGACAACTATTTTTATTTTTGCAAGATTTTCAAAATTAATGTCTGTCATACAGAAAAAAAACGCGCTAAAATTTTATGTTATTTTACTAGTTCCGGTGATACAAAGACAAACAAGGTGTTTAAAAATTTAGAATGTTCTAAAAAGAAGGAAAAATTTTAAAATATAATTAAAAATACTTTGATCTTTCCTCTTAATATTAACATAAAAATTTAGACGCTAAAATTTTGCTTTCGTCAAGTTTGGCGTCTTTTTCATCATGCTATGCTTTGTTTTTAGTGATCTCAGGAAGGTACCTATATATATATCTGGCATCCCAATTTGTTCATTATCTATCTATCTATCTATCTATCTATCTATCTATCTATCCCAGTCTGTTCCTATCTATCAATCTATCTATCCCAGTCTGCCCCGTATCTATCTATCTATCTATCTATCTATCTATCTATATCTATCTATCTATTCCAGTGTGTTCTTATCTATCTATCTATCTATCTATCTATCTATCTATCTATCTATCTATCCCAGTCTGTTTCTATCTATCTATCTATCTATCTATCTATCTATCTATCTATCTATCTATCTATCCTAGTCTGTTCCTATCTATCTATCTATCTATCTATCTATCTATCTATCTATCTACAACTGCTTAAGCGCTAATATTTCGACTTCTAAGAAATGAATGAATTCTTATTACTGTATACTTTATATTTACTGGATATTTGAGCAGCGATCCCATTTTTAAACATTGTAAATCTACATCTACCTACCCGTGCAATCGAAAAATCGTTATTCCGAATCTTTCAGGGGAAACCACCGTTAAAATCGTCGTGCTTTTAAATCACTTAGCGATTCTAGATTTCAAAAAGTAACAAGTGTGACTACGCAAACACGCTCAGCCTAACGTTTACCGTAACAAGAAATATTGGCTCGTAAAATCCATTAATTCCTCAACAGTTACTTTGTTTACGTTTCGGTTAAGAAAATATAATTTGACACATAGGGATCAAGTAAGAAATGTCCGGTTATTTAATGGGGCAACTGATTTTTGCAAGGAAGCAAGAAGCCAGAAGAGATTTCCACAAGCAAGAGGTGCGATAAAAGAAGCTGTTAGCATAGAACTGATGGTTAAATCTAACCATTTCAGCTCTAAAATGATGAGACCTTGCCGCTAAACTAGTACAGCACTTAAATTCATAAACTCTAGGTACCATAGAGAAAAGTCGGTCAGCACTTCTATAAATATTTTCATGGTAATCGTTCTGATAAGCTTTTCTTTTTGGTAACTCAACTTTACGAATTTAAGCGAAGTTTCTCATTGATTGAAAGGTTTCATCATTTTACTCTAGAAATTGCTAGATTTTACTCTAGAAATTGCTAGATTTTACTCTAGAAATTGCTAGATTTTACTCTAGAAATTGCTAGATTTTACTCTGGAAATAGTTAGGTTTAGGTTTACGCTAATAATTTCTTTTCGCATGCAGTGCTCTCTTCCAGCTTCTTACTTTTCCGTACGATGTTCAAAAATTCAAATGCAATGGCACGCGTCATCTTCTGTCTTCTTGAATCGTGTTCTTTATATTATCCCAAGTCTTCAGCAAAGTTTTCTCAATTTCTTTCACTCTCAGTAATCCTTCCACTCTTTTTCGCCATAATTGATTAAGAATGACAACTAAATAAATAAACAGAAGTAGATAGGTTCGCCTATTACCCGATTCACACACCTCCCTGGTCTTTTTGAATGGGAGTAGAGGTTTATCCCTTGATTCCTGTTAGGGTTGAATTTCTGGTTCCTTCTAAAGTCTTCTCATTTTTTTTACTCTAGTTACACCCTTGCGTCTTAATGGCATTATCGCCTTACGTGTACGGGAGGAATTGATTAAAAAATAAAACATTGAATTCAAAGAACTGTGACGTCGCCCCTCCTTGGTCGCAGCGTCGACTCTGTCGTTCGATCTCGTTCGCGGCTACAACTGTGACGTGACGTGATGTGGCCGCCCAAGGGTCGATCCTTGTCACGGACAGCACCAGTTGTGACGTTTTTTGCCGCGGCGTCAGTTGTTCGCTCCTCGCTGCTCCAAGTGTGACGTTCCAACCCTCTGGTTAGATGATTACCAGCCTCGCCGTTCCCAACTCGCTTCCAACACCTGGTTACTAGGGTAACTGTACTGATCTCCGGTCTGCCTACCCACGTTGTGATTAGATCTTAGACAGACGGGATCAAACGGGAGTCGGGCTGTATGCCAGCTGGGTTCAACGGGGTGGCAACACACAAGCAAAAAAAAAAAAAAAACTCACGAGGCAAAAAAATTACTGATAAGAAAGGGTAACAACCTTTTTATATCTAATGTTCGTTACATAAAAATTATTCTTACTTCCTGACCCGTTTTGTGGACTGTGGTACCAAGCTTCTATCATACAATTTAAAGACTTTGAGTTGCCTACTCTCTAGAATTTTGTATGTCGGAGTGTGGTTTGGTTTCGACTCTGGGCGCTAATCTCTACCAGTCGTTCACGGCTGATTCTTCTCTTCGGCTTGAGTTGGACGTTTTATTCGCTTCGGCTTGAGTTGGACGTATTTCTTCACTTCGATTTGGGTTGGACGAATTTCCACCCTCAGGCTTGGCCTGGTTTCAACTTCTTCTAGACGCAACTGCAAGTAACTTCTTCTTCTTCCGTCCTGCAACTCTTCTCGCCAAGGTCCGAACTCTTCTCTCTGCCGTCTGAGGTGAACTCTTCTCTCTGCCTTCCGGGCTGAACTCATTTGCTTGTTTGGCCTGCAACTTTTACTGCCTGTCTGGCCTGCAACTCTTCTGCCTGTCTGGCCTGCAATTCGGCCTTCGGCCTGTCTGGCCTGCAACTCTTCTGCCTTGTTCTTCTGCTGTCAGCTCTTCTTTTTTATCTGGCCTGCAATTCTTCGGTTTGTCTGGCCTGCAGCTCTTCTGCTTGTCTGGCCTGCAATTCGCTCCAACTTCTCTGCGGCTTTTCGAGCAATTTTTCTTCTCTTCGACTTGGCTGCAACTTCTCTGCCTGTCCGGACCAAACGGACCGAGTCTTCTGCCCGCAAGGGGCGAATGAACAGGGCCCGCCGTCCGCTCTCCAACTGCTCTGGCCGTCTACCCCGCAACTCTCTGATTTCTGTCGATTGGGGTCCTGTTTTTATTGACGCCGCAACAAACTGGGGTGGGTCTGTCGGCGTCAGGGTTTTCTTGATAATTCCAAAAGTCGCATTATTCCTGATTTCCCATTATCGCTCTTATTTTCACCCCTACTTCCTCACAGTGCCCCTGGGGGAGGCGCATACCAATCTCTCCCGGTCTCTCGTATGTCAGGGGTGACCGTTTTCGACCAATGGGTCCTGGTCGAGCGTCCTTTCTCCTCTTTCTCGCATATCACGACCGCCTTCGGCTAATGAGATTCTGGTTGGGCGTCTCCCGTCCTTCGTGACGTCTCCAATCGGGCGTGGCCTATCCCGGCTTTGTTCTGGGAAAGAAACACCTTACTAAAAAAAACAAAATCCAATTTGGCCTTTTTCGCACGCACGAAAATGACAATCTAGGCCTTTCTCACCTTTTGGTTTTTGTCAAAACAGCCCGCCGCTAATTAGATGTGACTTCAGGAAGAATTTTTCTCGTCTCGCTGGCGCTTTCTGTGAGCCAAAACAATTGTTTTCATTCCTTTATTTTCGTTCAGGCCTGACAGTCAAAATCTTAATTATCTGAATTGAAAATATCCTCACTTCATCATCGTGGGGGTTCTAATCTTCAACAGTTCAAGATCTGTATACAATTCCGGTCACCTTCTCATTCCAAAGACACCTTTCCGATTAATATTTCGTTTTCCATTGTTCTAAAATCCCATTTCTCCAAATTGATAATGAGCTTCTACATTCCGTGGACACAAAAGTAGGCCAGATGTTTTGACCGATATTTTTATCAATCGTACGTATGTTCATCCACTTTTACCATGTCCGTTCATTATTCTAAACTTATTCTTTCAAATAACAATTTCCATTGTTCTTGAAATTCGGTCAGGCGCGTTGGCCTAGATATCTCTTGACACCTGTTTTCGCTTATGACCGGCTTATCTATTTCTCCTCCTCTCCTTTTCTTTTCTTCTTCTTCCCTTAGGATCGCCTAAATACAATTAGAGAAATATTCTCAAAACTTAATTACTCTTCGTCTAAATAACTAACAACTGGTTAATAAACCGAATAAAAATTAAATCATATTTCTAGGAATATTTCTTTTTAGTTTTTCTAATAATGCAGGTTACCACAGAACTATTTCATATCCAAATGTTTTCGTTTTAAACGATGTAGAGCCAATGAGTAACACGTTTTTTATGGTATATTTTCTGAAGTGTCACGCTATCTAAAGGATAAAATAGTTCAAATAAACATTCATAGAGCACAACTTCTCCTGATATGAGATCTTTAGATTTTTTTTGTTTGGCGGCTATGTTAAGAATGTAGTTGTCAACACGAAACCCGAAATACTTTATGACTTAAAATTGATGAGGCAAATTCGATATCATTCGACTGTTTAAAAATTCTATTCATATTTTGCATGAAAGATGGCAAATTTGTATCGACAATGCCGACTCATCTGCTGTGAAACAGAAATGTTACAGATAGACTGATTAGTTAATGCGGTAGCATATCTACGGACGACAATGGGTATGTCCCCAGTCACATAAATACAGTAGTAAATTCTGTATGTTGGTCTGCAATTGGAGATTCGTCTCCAGCTGTGCTGGTCAAACTCCTTGCCTCCGGGCGGAGAGGATCCCCAGACGAGGCTATGTCGAAGGGGACAGTCTCGTCTCAGGAAGATATATAACCGACCCCTATTTATATGGGGTCTACGGGGAATTTTTGGCCCAGCCTACGGGCTCGGATACGCCACACTAAATTCGGCCTTGTGCCACATTTGACCGCGTGGAGCGGTTGGTAGATATCCTGCAATTGGAGGTTCGTCTCCAGCTGTGCTGGGCAAACTCTCCGTTTCCGGGCAGAGAGGATCCCCAGACGAGACTATGTCGATGGGCAGAGTCTCGTCTCAGGAAACAGCTACCCGACCCTGTTTTATATGGTGTCTACGGGGAATTTTTGGCAGAGCCTACGGGCTCGGATAACCAACATTAAATTCGTCCTTGTGCCACATCAGACTGCGTTGGGTTATTGGTTGATATACTGCACTTAGATATTCATTGTGGAATTCACTTGATTCACTTCTAGCAGTTGACTACTTCACCTATGCGCTGATGGCGAATCTTATATGTGTTGTTCTTGTCCTAAGTATTATTGTTCATTACCAAACTTCGTTTGATTATTCTATTCAGTAACATTCCCTAGGTTACAACATTTAATAAACAAATATGTTCCTTTTTATCTGATTTTGCTCCCCCCACCCATTTTTCGGTTTCAAATGTGGCAATTAATTTTAGGTACCGTAATAAGGACAGAGGGCTCAGAGAATTTAACTCTCGTAAAACATTGAAAGCTAGCAAAGTTAGGAGAATTAGCCGATGACCTACTAAATGATTTTGTGCGACAGTATATGGGCAAAGCTGGATAGTAAAACGCCAAATGTTAATTAATAGCATTGGTGTGATTAGGAATTTCTTTAGAATTAAGAATTTGCCATACATTGACTTTG